ATGAAAGGATGATCAGATTTAGAAAGAAATGTGTGGACAGGCTAAGGCATATTTCTGAGCATAATAGACATCCCCAGGTCACTAGCATAAGGGGAGGGTCTTTAGGCCCGGGTTCACCCCATTCTCATGGTGTTTCCTTTGTGAGCTGAGCTCGCCCATTGCTTCAGGCCTTCCTTGCTCAGATTTTGCCCATATCCAACTTTTTCAGATCAACATTTGACTAACAGTGAAACCTTTTGCCTGTTTTGCTAACAGATGGTTCTCAGCATGGTTCAGAAAAGCTGGATCTGTATTGTTCTGTAGGCTAAATGTTTTTTTATTGCATATTTACCGAGGAATTGCCTCTCCCTCACAGGTGTTTGCAATTACACTTAGTATTCAACTGTAGACTTTCTCGGTTTGTTTTATGGACTTACCTTACTGAATGCTTTGCTTGTATAATATGAAAAACCACAAAAGGATTTTTTTTGACACATTGGAGGTTGTTAGGCATCCAGTTTCCAACAATGGATGTTTCCTTTTCCACCAGTGTAAAAGCCAGGAGCCCTTGATAGAGGAGCCCTCTCCCCTCAAGAAGACATGAGGCCTCATTTGAAAACTTTGGCACTGTCCCATTTTTCCCGTAAGAACTGAAAGGATGTGAGACCAGGGAGACAGGAGGTTAAATGAGAAGGGCTGGAAGGCAAAATAAGAACAGCTGGAGTTCATTAGTTACAATCCAGGGTCACTAGCTAAAAAGGCAACCAAAACGCCACGTGCAGAAAAACTAAATGAGCAATGCAGACTTCTCTAAAAAGCCTTGAAGTAGAAATGACTTTTCCTGAACAGTTTGGCTGCTCTAATGGTATAGCAGCCAAAGATTTATTGAGTAGGATTTTACATGTATGTTTCTCTGTGTAGAGGTAGAAAACACGTGGCAGTTTATTAATCTGATCATTTGGAGTACCATTTGATTGTAACATGTAATATGAAATTAGCAAAAGTATGGACAACACTAAGGGAAACATATCTTAATGTGTGTGCCAGATACTTTTCATGTGTTACCTCTTTCAATCCTCTTAGCAACCTTTGGAGATAGATACTATTATGATTCTAGTACAGAGCTATGATTCAAACCAAATCTCTCTGATTCAAAAATCCACACATTCTCTGTGTGTTCATTCCACGGGAGTTTATGGAGCACCTGCTATGTCCAGGTACTCTTCTGGCTGCTAGAGACACAGCAGTGGTATAGTAGGCATGTTCCTTACCCTCGTTCCTCTGCTAATTAGCCACCTTCACAGCAACTTAGAAATATTTTCATAACTGGCTCTGTAATTATATTTAAAATGTTTATTTTTACAATTAGGAGAGAAAGCTTTCATTTGAATATGCTAATATTATAAGTTTTTATATAAGAACACGTTCCCTAGTTTTATTAAACTAGGTATCAATGTCTTAATAATGTGCATTGTTTTAAATATCTTTCTATAAAAATAGAAACTAGTTTTAAAAGAACTTCCAGGACTTTCAGCCTGTTAGCAGCATTTGTTAGGGAGCAGTCAGAGAACTAATCTTTTCTGAGGACTAGGCATATGCCATAATCTTCCCAACTCCTCAATCATTTTTTTTTTTTGAACCCTCACATCAATTCTAGTTGGTAAAGTGTTATTTTTGTTGTAGTGATGAAGGAATCTGAACCTCAGAGAAGTTAGGCAACTTGTCTGAAGTCACAGAGCTAGTAAACATAGCCATTAGGTATTAAAATCCATTCTATTCTATTCAAAATCCTTTCTACTTTATTATGATAAATTTAGAAATCCTTAATTCAAGCATATTTCCTTTAGCAACAGAAAAAATAAAATTAGAACTCTATTTTCATGACAGATTTTGTGTAAATGTTAAGCAAAATTCAAGAGAAACATTTTAAAGAAAATAATATATAATATTATGTATTTGTCAATTCTGTCTTTCATCTCTTTCAGTCTTTCAGTCATTCACTCTACAGCTCTGTAATTGCAAGTCTTCAGAAACAGTTTCAGCTGAGAATATTTTAAGATCATTCTCTAGTAGAAAACATTACAAAGTAATTATTCCCAGTCCACATATGAGAAAACTGAGCCAAAAAAAGAGGAGGGTACAATGAGGTGGAGGATACAATCATCCTCAACTGATGGTCCGAAGTCAACGTTGGAAATATGGAAAGTGTGGAAAACTCTAGCAGAAACATGACATAAACAAAATTTAAAATGTTAATCTGGGAGTGGGTTTTAGTGAGGTTCAAAGTGAAAACGAGGCGAAGAAGCTGATGGCTCAGATATTAATTCTAATTTGCCTTACATTTACCAAGGATTCTACATCCTCATGTCAACCCTGTGAAGTCAGGTCAGGAAAGGGCTTATCTCCTTTTCACAACGGGTGAGTGGAGACTTGGGATGAGTTTCTCTCCTGAGCTCGCTTGGATAGAAAGCTGCAGGGCCAGGATTCACATTAGAGCTTTTGGCTCCACAGTCCGTCCTCCGTTAAGACACTCAATAAATGTATATGAAAAATTAAGTGCTTCCTCTTGGCTGAGTATTGTACTAGGCAGTGTGGCAGCATCCGAAAGAGGGGGAGAGTCGCTCCCTCTGTGTCAGGTAGTCTTTGGTCTGGGACTAGGGACAGTAAACAGATGCCTGTGACACTGTTTACTAGATTTACAAAGCAATGTACTTATAAAAGTGAACTAATGAATTTAGCTCGTAAGGATTCAGGAGAAAAAAGTAGAATTAGAGCATTCATCATCCAAGCAGAGTAGGTCTAGCAGGGGTCGTAGGGCTCCTTTGGTGATAAGGGGCTCCCAGCTCATACCGACATAACTAAAGAAGGAAGTTCACTGGCTCACAGGTCTGATTACGGGCTTGCATGATGCAGAGGACATCACCGGGAATCCGGGTCTGTCCATCACCCAACACTGTTTTTCTCTGCCTTAGGTTTAGTCCCAGGCATGCTCTCACCAGGCATTGGTAATCTGGCCACAGCAGCTCCTGGCTAAACTCTGCCAACTCAGTCCTCACAGCGGAAACAAGCATGTCTTTCCTCGTGGCACCAGCAAAGTTAGAGCTCTCTCAGGCTTGGATTTTGGAGGGTGCTGTGCTCTAATTGGCTAGACCTGGGTCACATGCCCACTCTTGGGCAGGGGTGGGGTCAGCCCCATCAGAATAGTATGGGGGGAGAAGGGAGATGGATGGTTCCCCAGAGGAAATGGCGGTGTCCCCACTAGAAGGGAGAATGGCCTCCAGGAGGACAAAACCACAAAAGATCATTACAACAGGATAAGCTTCCTGAAGGAAGTAACTGTGTTCCAAAATTTGAGTATTTGAGCTAGTTCGTTTATAATTATATGGAATTCTGGGAGAGAGTTTGTGGTAGAGATTCATGATATGCAGGCTCACCCTGCAGAATTCTCCTCTCCATAGGTTTGCGGTTCTCCCCTCCACTCTCTATATGACGCTTCAACAATCTTTCATCCCATGCTCTCATCCCTGCCTTCTACCAATCATGTCCACAGGCCCTGCTGACCCCCTGTGGGACTTGGAATTTTAGAGAATAGTCATATGTGGCAAAGGCAGACTGCTCCTCTTCCTGCTCCTTCCACTCCTTTGTCTCTCCAGGCCTCCTCTCCTGTAGCTCTGAAGGAGAGATGATAAGCTTCCCAAAGGAAGGCATTTGCAAAGTGCTCTGAGTGCTTTGATGAAATTGATTGGGTAAATGGAAACATAGTTTTTGCAACTGTTCTAGCCTGTCAGAAAAATAAGTTATATAAACAGAGTGATTCACCATTTAACAAATAATGAAGTTTTTATAGTTTTGAATATTATTTCACAACAAGAGATTCTTCTCCAGCATTAAAAAAAAACCAGAATGCTCGATTTGAACTGTTAAAAAAATAAATACTGCTTGATATACTGCTTGATATCTTAAAGCAGTACTTTCATGATTAATGATTGAATTAACATTTTGTTTAATTTTTCTAGCTTCTCTCCTGAAGGGTTTGAAACATGCTAATATTGTGCTCCTGCATGACATAATCCACACCAGAGAGACACTGACATTCGTTTTTGAATACATGGTGAGTTTCTGCAGCATTTCACAAAGCATAAGGGAAAAGCCTGGTGCTTGTATAATGAATCTGTTAATATTTTATGGGATGATAAAACTTTCATTACAATGTGGAAAGTGTCGTGCAAATTTTCGTTATTGTGATTGGTGGAGCCTAATGTTCTTATGGTCATTCTTTAGTCCTGCTCCTTTACCTACTATATTTGCTGCCTTTTCCCCCCTCATCAGCAATAATAAATTAACGCTTCAAGTTTCCCTCCTAAATAAAACTTTTGCACTTGTTTTTTAATCTATTTTTAATCACCATCTAAGCAGAACCCAACATTTTTTTCCATTGACAATAAAGACATCAACTACAAGGTTTCAAAAAATTGTGTACAAGTTTATTAAAGAAATCATGTTGCATTTAAGAATAAAGAAAAAAACTGACACTTCAGGTATTAGCAGAAAGAAGTCATAAGGTGTGTGTACTTTACTTGCCTCCAAGGACACTTGGAGAGTAAAAAATCACCATGTCATTGTGTTCAGTGGCAGTCATTTAAAATGAGCCTCTCTTGTGCTGAGAAATAGGCTTTTTTCTAAGAGCAGCCAGTTAGGAAGACACACCGTGTATGACTTTAACAGTGGTGTCTCAGGAAACCTGGTTATGCACCTTTTGCTCCTTATTCTCAAAAATTCTGAACTTTGTAATACTTTGAGAGTCAAGTCTATGGTCTGCTCTGCAACGTTGGCCAAGCCCCACTAACGTCACTCTCTCCACCGCTTTGTGTAGCACACAGACCTGGCCCAGTATATGTCTCAGCACCCAGGAGGGCTTCATCCTTACAACGTCAGGGTGAGTACTTTGAGGGTCAGGACTCTCCTCTGGCTTGCCCACAGCAGAAGAATTTTGAAACAGACTGCCATTGCAAACCAAAGTCCCATGGTCCCATGATACTAAATAAAAAGATGGACATCACTGATATTCTAGAGAGAGGTTTAAAAAAAAAATAATTGCCCTTCAAGATAATGGAGCAATGGCAAGCTGTTTTCTGTGCAGCCTAGCCCTGTCAGTCATTGCCATCATGCAAATGTACCTTTAGAAGTATAAACTAATTAAAGAGAATTGCATTGAAAGGGAAGAAGTGATGTTAGGCCAGCATAAGATAAATCTTTATAGCAGACTACTGTGGTCTTTGATAAAGTCTGTGCTGTACTTACAGTTCCCACTAGACCTAGCAAACAGACTATCTTTGTTGGCTCTTCATCAGTTATCTTTTAGCCTGTTCTGTCAGATTCTATCATATATGGGACCGACTTCCATTTTTCCAGTCATTGGAATAGACATAACAAAATCTTAACTAGCTATATAATTCTATGTCTGTTAAAAATTTTAGAAACCATTTGTATCTCATACTTTGCATTCCCTAAGGTTTTACTGGCATTAATTAATTGATTGGACCTCAATATAACCATATGAGATTTGTATCTGATATACTCATTCATTTAACTAACACTTATGTATTGGTTTATTCATTTATTTAAGAAATATTTATTGAGTACTTAGTACCATATTAAATCCTAAGGTTTCAATAATGAATAACTTGTGTTTCTGATTTTCAATGAGCTAAAGCTCAGTAGAATGTATGGACTTAAAAAGATAGTGAGAAGCAAAGTGATGAGGGCTATGGCCATGTTAACCAGGAACACTATGAGAACTCATAAGGGGACCAAATCCAGTCTTGGAGGCAAGGGGGAGAGGAAGGTTTTGAGGACAGGGCTTTGAAGAGAGTGAAAATACTAAAAAAAAAGGGGGGGGTAGGAAAATGAGAAGGAATGTCTAGCAATGTGTTAGGGCTCTGGTGAGGACGAAAAGCATCAAATTATCTGCATGATGATGGGATTTCCTTTTTCTTTTTTAATGGAAGTGCTTAGCAATTCAAATAGAGAAGCAGAGAAAGTAGACAGTGGGATTGATTCAGAGCTGGGTTTTTTTTTTTTTTGCCAGACTATGACAGGAAAAGACTGAGCAAGAGATTTGGAGATTGTCAAGAGAGGTGAAAGTGATGGTCAGGCACTTCTAAACTGAGTCCGGTGTGAGGGAAGGAAGTAAAGATAGGCAGATTGCTGATAGCGAGGAGAGGGCAGAAGGGTCAGGGAGCTAGAGGTGCTGATTGCATAGAAGAGCAGTTGGAAAAAGAGTAACCGTGAGAAAGAGGGAACATTTTCCGGCTTGAGTGATTCTCATACCAAGCATTGTGCTAAGTGCTTAGCAGGATAGAAAGATGTAGAAGATATAATTCCTGCCCTCAAGGGACTTAGAGCCAAAACCAGGAGATAAGACATACACACCAGTACTATTACAGGACATCTGTGAATAATATCAGGTAAGAAATAAGGCCTAATGTTGCAGACATGCAAAGAAGTAAAAGTTATCTCCTCATTTTATGAGGTTTAACAAGCCAGACCTTAAAAGATTGCAAGAGGCTGGATAGAGGAAGATGTTTTTGGCAAAGGTACAGAGCAGGGAAGTAGATGATGTATTCAAGGAAGGGGATCCCAGGGTCATGGACTGTTAGGGTTGAAGGGACCACAGTATTTTTCACTCTTCCAGTTCTGACCCATTAGGGCTATTGAATCAATTGGTGACTAGCAATTAGCATTTTAAAAAATGAAATGGAATGGATGAGAAGAGAATAGAAAATATTATAGTATATTATACTTAATAAGAATGAGTATTATTTTGTGCAGCTGTTTTTCCAGTTGAAACTATACTTTTATCTACGTATAAATGTGAAAACTGGAAACATGTATATTTCCTACTGTGGGTTGCAGAAAAAAAAAAGCCTTAAAAATATTAGGTTGGTCTAACTTCCTTATTTTACAGAATCAGAATCCAAAGTTTGAAAGGACAAATAATATTTTTCCTGAAGTTTTAGAACCAACTGTTG